CCCCTCAGGCCCGCTCTAAGAGCCGAAGCCGGGCCTCGGCGCATGCCTCAAGCGGACGCTGAGCGCGCGGCCGGCCTCGGGCGGGCTGGGCAGCCCGGAGCTCGGCTGTCGGCCTTTAGAAGTAAGTCGCGCCGCTGGTCGCCGCGGGACCGCGAGCTTCCCCTGCGGGGAGGGACGAGTGTGCGTCGGAGGCTGGTTGTGCGGAATGCCAGCAGGCCCTGTGCCTGCGCCCCCGCAAGGTGGGGAGCCCTAGATTCAAGGGGGAGCGCCGCCTGGGCCAGTGATTTAAAACCTCTGATGAGCCTGGAGACGGAGGGGGTGGGTTACTTGGAAAAAATGTTGAAGCGCCTCATCCTCGTTTAATGTTTTTCACCCCCACCCGCGCCCTCCTCACCCTCTCCTTTGTTTCACATTTTTCTGTCTCCTGGTTCCTCTTCGCTCAAATCCAGTCATCTGGAGGCCCTGCATGTGAAAAAAGGCACAGGGAATGCTAAAGGAAACTGCTGCCAATTCAGTTTTCTAGATTACTACAGGAGCAGCAACACTGGCACGTTGGGAGGGGGGGACAAATACACCCCGCAGAATTCAGCTTTACTTGAGGATGGTGGTATTCAGGTGGTTTTCTCTTTGCTCTAAAATCCTTGTAAGGCAACACTGAATGAAAAGGATTGTAATAAACTATGAAGTATATAGCCATTTACTTAGGAGAAAAAGGCAAAATAGGAAAGGAATCAGAAGAAATAAGATGCCTCCAAAAAACAGTATAAAAACTGATTTATTTAGTATCCAACCAGTTACATTATTGTTGCCCTACTGAAGAGATGGAATGATGAGGGGGAAAGGCCGTGAAATCACAACTGATTGAAAAAAATTTAAAAAAAAAATTGTGTAGCCTTATTTGTCACATCCACCTACCAAATGTTAAGATGATTGCTGTTGGCGAGGACCAGCAAAGGCTTACCGAAGCTGTCAGTAACTAAGAAAAAAAACCCCAAACACCTGTAGTCTTTTAAGTGCAATTTCCAACACTTCTGTAACAAATACATTGAAGACAAAACATCAGATTGAAAGAGTACAAAAAGTAATACGTAAGTCTCATGCAAAACTTTTTGAAAGCTAGCAGCAAAATGTATTACTAATTTCTTGTTTAATAATTAGATGTCGGCTGAACTTGTCCTATACCATTTGATCAAAAGCAGCAGACTTGGCTGAGCTGTGGAGGAGAGTTCTAAGCAGTGTATAGCCAGTCCTTATTTCCAGATTCCATATTTGTGAATTCACCTACTCACTGAAATTTACTTGTAATCCCAAAATCAATATCCACAGCATTCGTGGACATGCACTGAAAAATTTAACAGGCGCTGCTGAGGTTAAAGAAAAAGCCCTGCGTTACTATTTCAACTCAGTAAACAAGTGTGCTTTTCACCATATGCACTGTCATATTTTAAGCTTTTTTTTTTTGATACTTTTTATTGGTGGTTTTCCTGTTTTAAGTGCTCCTCAAGCATAGTGCTGAAGTGTTACATAGTATCTCAAAGAACAAGAAGGCTGTGATGTTCTTTGTGGAGAAAACATGTCTTACCTCAGATTCGTTTAGGTTTCTCATTAGTGCTCTTGGCCATGATGAGTTCAGGGCTAATGAATCAACTATATATTAAATAAGATGTCTAAACAGAAACACACAAAGTTATGTATTGATCAGTTGACGAAACTGTGACCACAGTATCTTAGGAAACTAACCCTGTGTTTATCCCCCTAGGAGTAGTTCTGTGTTGAAGGCAACTTTGTAGAACACAGCTGCTTCAGATAATGAGAATTCACTATTTACAAAAGGTCACGCTACACCCATTTTTAAAATCTCATCTCATTGCCTCAGATTCCATTTTCTGTCCTTAAGAATCCTCCTTTGGAAATACCTTTGATCCTTCCCTTCTCTCTTTCTCCATTATCTCACAAAACGACACCCTGCACAATTCGCTGCATGCTTGAGAAAAGCATAACAGCCATGCTAAATGCTGAAATGAGCTTCTGGTGTCCTCACCCCCTGAGGCTGATTTCCCTGATCCGTTTACTCTGCCCCCTTAAATAGCTGTTTACCATCTTCGAAAACTGACAGTACATCCCAGTCCTCCTATTTTGGCTCTTGTTTCTCTTGAGAAAATAAAAGGAATCAGAAATCAGTAACAAGTCCAGCCTACTCCCCACCCTTGCACCTACCAACCTTCCTCCATCTGAGTACACTGCTAGCCTCCAATAATTGGGGCTAGATTGTCAAAATTCCTCTTTAAGACCAAAATTGCCACTTTTCCATTGAGATCCATTTTACTCTTGGAATTGTCCTCTTTCCTTATAAAATTTTCACCCTCTCAATTTGATCACTTTTGTCAACTTACAAACATATTTTAATAGCTACCATGTTTAAAAAAAACAAAACCATTTTTCCCTGCAGATACTACCTCATTGCTCTGATCTGCCCCCCTATACAGAAAAACTTCATCTCCACTTCTACTCTGTCTTGAACCTACAGATCAGACTTGATCCCAATACTCCACTGAAACTGAAGCTTAGGCATTTCAGTAGCCTCCGTGTTCTTAAATCTAGTTTTATTTTGGCTTCATCTCGCTCAACCTGCATTTGACACAGCTGATGACTTTCGTTCCTTGTTTTCCGGGCTCTGAACACTAGAGTACCCCAGAATTCAAATCTCACAACCTGGATTGCTTCTCTCTGTTCTTTCTCCCTAGGCAATCCCATCCAGAACTCTGGCTAAATGAAACACATATTTGAATCTCCAGCCCACACCTTTCCCCAAAACTCTGGACTCACTCACAGTGCTGTTTGAATGTCTAGTGAGCATTGCAAATTTAGTATATGGTAAACCAAACTCCTCTAATTTTTCTCTCCAAACAAATCCTGATCGAGTGTTCCCTATTTCATGAAATGGCAACTCCATTCTTCCAGACTAAAAACTTAGGAGTCTTCCTTGATTCTTTTGTACCTCACATCCACTCCATCAGGAAATCCCACCAATACTGTCTTCAGAATCTACCCAGAATCCAATCTCTGCTCACCACCTCCGTCACATTCACTCTGGTCCAGGCCCCCATCTTATACCTAGACTGTAGCAAAGGCCTCCTAATGGATTTCCCACTCGTATACTTTGTTCCACTTTGTCTACTCAGTCACACAGCAGTCAGAGTGATCCCTTTGCTAGTCAATATCATTCCTGTCTTAAGGCCCAGTAATGGTGGCATCCCATCTCACTCAGGATGAAAGCCAGAGTTCTTAGCGTTGTCTACAAGGCCCTGTGTGAACCGCTCCCACACACATGACCTCTGGTTTCATATCCAGAGACTTTTTTCTTACTCATTCTTTTCCCACCACTCTGTCCTCCCTTTTTCTCCTATACACCAAGCATGTCTGTCTCAGGACCTTTGCACTAGTGCTCTTCTGCCTGACTGCTCTTCCGCTGGATACCTACTTGGCTCATACTATCATTTCTTCTCAAGTCTCATCAGAAGGGTTTTTACTGTGAGAACTATGTAAACAGCACCTCACCACTATCCCTCTCTCTCACCCTGCTAAACTTTTCTCATACTGTTTGCCATATAATGTGTTTTGTTTATTGGTTGTCTCCCACTAGAATGAAAGCTCTATGTGACAATCAGATAAATATTTGTTGAGTGAAAGGACATTTGCCTACAAAAATTATACAAAGAAAATAGCAAAATACTGTAATTGTCAAGAGGAAAAGGCATATGGGTTCATTTTTGCTTGGTCTCCAAAAGAACAATAGAATTATAAATCCAGTCCTGCTGTCAGAAATGAAATGGCAAACAGCTGGATTATTCCTAATACAGGTAAAATATTATAACATTTGAAATTTTATATAGATTTGCATATATAGCAAATCTTATGCAGACTTTTACATCTTTCTAATGAGAGACCTCAAGTTTGTAAATGTGCAAAAGACCCATATTTCAACCAGTAAATTAACATAGCCAATACAGGGGAGAACTATCAGCCCAGAAGCTGTAGGTGACTAATTTTAATGTGATCCTATTGGTGGAGGAAGAATCAAAAAGTGGCATCCTCAAGTGGTTTTGCTGGAATTTTAAAGGGGTCACAAAATAAAAATGTATTCCCTGAAATTTTCTCAACCTCTTTTCATTTCTGTCTTTTTTTTTTTTCCTCTGTCCTTGCCTTTCTGTAAACTTTGCAAAGTAATAGTAATTAGAAGCATGGGTTTGGGAATCAGAATGACATAATACAAAGCTCTGGCTACATCATTGACTGACTAGCAGTGTGAACTTGGGCATTTTACTGAAATCTCAGAGGTTATGCTTCCTTATCTCTTAAGATTGGCTTGATAGGGTATAGGACTGTTTGTATAAAGCAAATGAAATTATGTAAATAATTTAGCAGTACATGGCACATACGTGCTCCACTGCTGGTGAATATCATTCATCCATTCAAAAACAGCATTGCTGACTTTCCGTGTATCATGTCTTAGGAACATAGTACTAAGCAAATTAACTTGGTCTCTGCTCCTATGGAGTTTTAATTTTTGGTAACTGCAGCACATAACTAAAAGGTGACCCTTTGTGTTCTCAGATTTGTGATGTGTGGCTTTCATTCAACCATGTGGAAAAACAGGAAAACTGCAACAAGAATTACAGTTTAGAAAAGAGGAGTAAAAACCTTCAGGAGAGCACCATATCTCAATGTACGGTGTATCCTTGTAAGCTGGGATAATAATGTAAATAGTATAATCAGCAGGTCCTGGGATTCTTATTGACTCATGTATTGGCAGTAGAGCTAAGTTCTGGATTGACAAACTGGACTGTCTGTTTCTTTCTTTTTTTTTTTTTAATTTCTTTGAGTTATACATGATAAAATGCAGCCAAGATTGAAAACTATACCCTAAACCCTTGGCCTCTGGCAAAACTTCAGCCTGAGATGACCCAACAATTCACTTTCTTCAGTGCCTGGAAGCAGTTGCACTCTGCTGAAGACTGTTGAGTGGACTTCAGAATACACTGATTCCACTAAAATCTCATGAACACCAAATCAAATGGACCCTTAGTACAGCCAGGCAGTCTTACATTTCTCTCTTCAGCTTTCTCATCTTCTCCAAAATTTTTCTCAAACTTCCACTCTCCTCAAACCTGTCCCTCTCACTTTACTAACTCCCCTTCACTTTCAGAAGATAACACCTCCTTCCTCCTAAACTGAAGCCACCAAATGGAAATTTTTTCCTGCCTCCAAATATGCAGATTTACATACATTCAACTTACCCTTCTATTTTCTCAGCAATTTATTGAGAACCCACTATGTGTTGGGGATACGTAACTGAACAGTACAAACAAAAATATCTACTGTCCTGGAGCTTATATTCTAGTGGGAAGAGACAGACATAAATAAGTGATACGGTAATTTAGAAAATAGTAAGTGCTATGGAGAGAAGTGGAGGGTGATTGGAAGTACTGGATTAGGAGTAGTATTTTAAATAGAGTGGTGTTTGAGATGACATTTAAGCAAAGACTTAAAGGTCATAAGGGAGAGGAGTGTTCCTGGCAAGGGAACAGTAGAAAGCAAATGCCCTGAGGCAAGACTATGTCTGCTGTGTTCAAGAATGATAAGGAAAGCTGTGCAGGTGAAATGTATCAACTGAAGGGGAAAGTATTAGGAAATGAAGTCAAGTAGGTTAAAGGACGGGCTGGGGTAGCAGGTCATGAAGGATCTAATAGGCCATTTTAAGAAGGCTGGCTTTTACTCTGAGACAGATGAGAAGACACTGGAGAGTTAGAAGCAGAGAAGTGACACTGGCTACTGTGTTAGGAATAGTCTCTACGGCAAGGAAGGGTGCAGAGAACAAGTTAGGATACACCACATTGCCCTTAAGTCACCGTTTCAAGACAGGAGTTAAGCCTTATCTCTAAGGCCATTTCCTTCGCATAGGCTTTCCTTTCTCCCTTGCAGTTACTTTATACTAACAATTATCCCTTTCTTGTATACTCAGACTCTTCCTTTCATCTGGATTAGTTTGATTGCTTTTTAAATATGTCAATCCTATATCCAAAAAAAACCCTTCCTTGATCCCACTTAATGCTCTCTCACACCTCTTTAGCCAAACTTCCAGTGAGACTTGTCTCTGGCACCTCAGTGGTTTCATTTATCATTCCTCTATTCGTATTTCAGGTAGTCTAACATCTTCACTCATAACATCACCAAAATAGATTTTCCTGATGCAGTGGTTCATCAACAGGTAGTGCTGATTCTCCAGGGGGCACTTGGAAATGTATGGCAGTTGTTGTTGTTGTTGTTGTTGTTGTTGTTGTTGTTTAACTTTTTTTTGTTGAGTTATAGTCATTTTACAATGTTGTGTCAAATTCCACTGTAGAGCACAATTTTTCTAGTTA